TATTAGTGTAAGAATTTGCACCAGGGGAACAACTACAACATATTAGTGTAAGAATTTGCACCAGGGGAACAACTACAACATATTAGTGTAAGAATTTGCACCAGGGGAACAACTACAACATATTAGTGTAAGAATTTGCACCAGGGGAACAACTACAACATATTAGTGTAAGAATTTGCACCAGGGGAACAACTACAACATATTAGTGTAAGAATTTGCACCAGGGGAACAACTACAACATATTAGTGTAAGAATTTGCACCAGGGGAACAACTACAACATATTAGTGTAAGAATTTGCACCAGGGGAACAACTACAACATATTAGTGTAAGAATTTGCACCAGGGGAACAACTACAACATATTAGTGTAAGAATTTGCACCAGGGGAACAACTACAACATATTAGTGTAAGAATTTGCACCAGGGGAACAACTACAACATATTAGTGTAAGAATTTGCACCAGGGGAACAACTACAACATATTAGTGTAAGAATTTGCACCAGGGGAACAACTACAACATATTAGTGTAAGAATTTGCACCAGGGGAACAACTACAACATATTAGTGTAAGAATTTGCACCAGGGCGACAATTTTGGTCGCGAATTACTTTTGCCGACCCTCAATTGGCGACCAAAGTAGCGACCAAAAAAATTGGTCGCGGATAACTTTTGCCGACCAAAAATGGACTTTTAGCGACCAATTTTTTGGTCGGCAAAAGTGTTAATTCTTGTAGTGTTTCTAAAGAATAAAATAAGTCAATAATTGAATGTAACAGAAATAACAATTACAAAACATAATTCCAATGAATTTTTTATATAGTATAGGTATATATATGGAGGGAGAGAGAGAGAGAATAAAAACCCTCAATGTGTATGAAAGTGTAAAGTGAAACTTGATATATACTTCGAGTAGTATCAACCTTGATAAGAAAAAAAAAATTAACTTGAATAATTTTTAAAAGTAAATCATTTTTACACTTTATGATATAAAATATTGTACTTAAATTTTGGCCAAACAAATGGAAAATAAGTAAAATATTTTTTTTAAAAAAAATAATTTATGACGAAACAGATGGAACCTAAATGTAAGAATAAAAACTGACATAAAAGACACCAAAAACAACAAATCTGAGTTTTTGAAGTCATCAACTATCTTAATGTAGTCGAATTTTCTAAAAGTTCTGAGCACAACATATGTAAGAGAAAAGATAGAGAAGGAGAGGGAAGAAGGTAAGGGTTTTGGAGAATAAGGTAGCAAGGCTTGGGGAAGGGGAAAGCAATGAAAATAGCGATTGGGGATTGGCGCGAGGCAGGAAGTGGCTTAGGAGAAGGGGAAGGAGAAGGCCACGGGGCTGGGTGAGGGAATAGAGGTGATGAGAGTGGTGGCAGATGGAAGTTGTTAGTTGTTGGTGGTGTGGCTTGCAATGATGGTGGTGACTGTGGATTACCAATGAAGGGAGATGATTGTTGTGGGAAGAAAAGTATGAATGGAGGATTTAGCCTTGATAACATGTAGTTCATGTGCAAAATTTTTGTTAAAAAACCTTAATTAACGTTGAGAATTGGATCAAATAGATACAAATTTTAAAATTCTAAGTCCAAAATTCACGCAATTGGGACAACATGGGTTAATTCGATATACTAAGGTTCAACAGAATTACCAATGAAATTTTCTTTAAAATAAAATAAATTTAAGGGCAATTTAAACCTATGGTAACTATGATTTATTTCTTGTATTAATTTGATACCTATAGTTTTAAGTATATTGATTTTTTATTTAATCTGAGTATGTTAATTTAATCAAATTGATAACATCTGTTATGAAATTAGACATAAAAACAAGCAAAATGGTCTACTGAAAGGCAATGGAACATTTCAAATTAGGCACTAATCTCTTAACCACTTTGAAGACAATGAATAAACAATTTTGTCTCCTCAATTTTAGTTCAGTATCTAAGATGACTTATTAATTAGCCACAAAAGACAAAACAGGCTATTTTAGCCACAACAAACAAAACATCACATCCAACACATAATCATTACACTCTTCTCTCACAAAAAAAATCAAAAAAGTCAAAAAGCCAAAAAGCCCTTCCCAAACCAAACTTTTTAGCCCAGGCTAAAATAGCCAAAAAAGTCAAAAAGCCAAAAAGCCAACCCACTTCCCAAACGGAGGCTAAAATAGACACACTCTGAAAAATTAAAAGGTAAAATTGATGCAATTAAAGCTTCAAAGACCAAATTATTACAAAAGAGCAATTAATACAAAATATAATTAATACAATGAAGCTTTTAAAGTTAAAGAAAGATAAATTAGTACAACGCATAAATAACACCCAAAAAAATCGAAGTGAGAAAAAAATATTTGTAAATACATAGAAAATAAGATTTACAAGTAAGCCGAGAAATTCAAATTGCTAATCTCTTAATAAAATACCGGAGTTATGACCAAATGAAATAGACCCCATTGGTTAAACCTCTAATTCTTCTAATTTTAGAGAACCCCCCCCCCCAAAAAAACAAAAAAAAAAAAGAAGAAAAAAAAAAAAAAATTATTAAGTGCAACACGGAACTTTATTGGTTGGTGATAGTATTTTTATTCGGCTGTCTCGTCCCACTAATATTTTTTTTTTTAACTATTTGAAATTGAAATCACTACCAAATGGATGCACTACTCTATTCTCTACTCAGGGAAGGCTGAACTAATTAAACTTTAAAATAAAATAAAAAGCCACACCCCACGGCCAAACTTGTTCCGTCATTAATTTTCGGGGACTAAAATAACTGTTGGATCTGCTTTGGGGTCACCACCGCCAACATTTCAATTTGGACCATATCGGCTGCTATTTTATTCGATTATGCATTTAGATTAATTAATAATAAATAAATAAATTGGATTATGAGTGTTTTGCCATTTTAGTTTTGACGATTAAACCTTTGTTTGGAAATAGTTAATTTAACCTAATTTTTTTGATTTTTTAGCTAATTTTAGTCTTGTTAAATTAGTTTTATTTGAGAAAAAACTTTTTATTTTTGCTTTGGTTTGAATGTGATGGTTGTGAGAGAAAAAATGAAATGATTATGATTTAAATGTAGCATTTTATCTTATTTTATAAATTAATCTATTTTGTCTTTTTGTATTAATTTGGCCACTTTTCCAAACAAAGCAAATTGATACAATTTAAATATTAAAAATTAAAGTCATATAAAACTCATTCTTGAAGAGCTACAAATATAATTAATCTAATAAATTAATTTGATAATTACAATTTAAGATTTGATCATATTTGTCGCAAAAAAAAATTAAAAAAAAATTATCATCAAAATATGTGACTATGTTCATGAGATCACTTTAAGGTTTTTTTTTTTTTTTAAATGATCTACATTTATTGTCAAACACAATGAGCAATTTAAGTTGTCAGATCACATAAGTCTCGTTTGGGAAGTGGTTATTTTAATAGGCTATTTTAGTTTTTGACTATTTTAAGTAGGCTAAAATTTTTGTGTTTGGGAAGATGATTAGATTTTTTTGTGGTTGGATGTGATGTTTGTGAGAGAAAAAGTGAAATGATTATGGGTTTGATGTGATATTTTGTCTTATTAGCTATTTTAGCCTATTTTGTCTTTTTGTGATTTTTAACCTAAATTTGACTATTTTTTTTCTTCCCAAACACCCCATAATAAACTTTACGAGCCAAAATACAAGTGGATTGGGAGAAGCCTGTCCCGAATAATTATGGGGTAATTTGAAAAATTAGTTAAAAGTTAATTTTTTATATTTTTTTATGAATAAAAAATATGAGTGATAATCAGTATATTTGGTTTGAATTTTTTGGATTAAGTTTTTTAAAAATTAAACTTTTTGGTTTCGTGTTTTTTTTATTTTTAGTGAATATCTTTAAAATTTTAAACATTTTTTTTAAAAAAAATTATATGCACCTTGCTTAGATATATTTAAAAAGTAAAAAATTTGTGAAAAAATAAATCCAGTAAATATATGAAAAATAAAAAAAAAAATTCTGAAAAATATTTTTTGAAAAATCTAACCAAACAAGCTGAATATAACTCAAAAAAAATTAAAAGTTAAAAGCTGATTTTTTATTATTATTATTATTTTAATTAGTTTGCCAAAAGAGGTTACGTACGCCATTGCCAACTCTGCTACAACTTTTCCAACTCTACATAATCCAGCTGTCCATCTCTTCAGCTCTCTCTCGGATACTTCTTCTTCCTTTGTCAACGCGCGCGCGCACATATATATATATATATATAGCTTCACAACCCATCCTTAACCATCATCACAAATAATCTCTCTCTCTCTCTCTGTTCTGCACTACATACATGTACAAAGTAGAAATGTCTTGTTCAACAATGGTTTTGGTTGTTGTGACGTTGATGATGAGTTGTGTAATGGCTGTTTCAGCAGCACCTTGCAACTGTTGGAACAATCTTCTGTGTAAATAAAATAATTTGAAATTAATTCAAACAAAATAAAATAAATAACATATCGGATTTATTTATCGAACCGAAATAAAATTAAGACCAAGTCGAGTGTGTGACACTCTATTCTTAAGACAAATTCGCCCCACTACGGTGCTTACTGTTGAATGACGTCTATCTCCCAGGATACAATGATGTTCACAAATTTATAGAAGCACTTCAAATAAATTTATTCGGCAAACCAAACCTGTGATCTATACTCTCTGTAATTTATTCTAAAACTAAATATGAAGAATAAATGCACTTAGAGAAAAAATGGACAGTAATGAGACCACTTAACTGAATTTTTCGGATCTGAAAATTCGATCCCAAACCTGCTAGAATTGATGGTATTTATAGGCAGCAAACAGTTCCGAACAAATATCAATTTAAAGAAGTGAAAAGGTACATTATTTCAATTCAAATAAAGTTGACCGTTTGATCTCAAATTCAAACATTTGAAAAAGTGTTCCGTTAGAGAATGTTTCAAATCTGTAGGTAATTTATTATTTAAACTATTTCAAATATATATATATATATATATATTAAACTAATTAAATATATAATCCATAAGAAACACTGGGGAGTCCAACTCCTATCCATTTCTATGATGAAATAGTGATGTCTGCAGCATTAAAGGTTAAAAAAAATTTTAATGATTCTTATATCTAAGTAAACCTAGTGGAGTATGGCAGGATACTCTTCATAAGAATCACCTATGTGAGTGTGAACTAGGCCGATTCTATGAGATTTGTGAAGGGCTACAATTCTCTAGAGCACTCATGAAAGACGAGGTTGTTCAGGGCCAAAATGAACACAATAGTGAGAACTAAACTGTGTCTGGGAATATACTGTGTGATTTCTATTGTCGTGGTTTACACAAACGGCTGAACAGTTCAAGACATTATGTTCACTGATTAGCTAATAAATCCGATAGTGTCTCACAAGGGAAGGTTCAAAGCCAAAAGCTACCTATCCTTTGCAGAATATTTTCAATTTCTGTACTCTCTGTATTTAGATCATGTTGTTGCATTTTCTCTCCGTCAAATTCCATTCATGTGGGGGATTGTAGGAAAAATGGTATTTTATATGGCTTATTTTGGGCCAACTTCGAAGCCAAATTTGAGTGGGCCCCAAACGTTATTTGGGGTGAGTCCGAAGAGGTGACGTGTTCCTTGCCGCGTGGCAAGTCACACGGTGAAGACGGTTCGTCAAAACCATTTATGAGTGAATGGGAAGTTGACGTCGTTTTCGGGTCTAACATTAATTTTTTAGATAAAAAATTCATTTGAATTTTTTCAATAAAAATTATTGTAAGAATTTAATTTAATTCTAAATTCAAATTTTGAGTTCCTAAGTGGTTTCTTAAAATTTGTAATTGTGAGAATTTAATTTAATTCTAAATTCAAATTCTAAGTTCCTAAAAAGTTTCCTAAAGTTTGTACCTTTTCATTTATTTATTTATTTAATTATTTCAATAGTTTAATAATAATAATATTCAAACAGTTTGAATTTGTTCCACAAACGGCTTCTTAGTTTAAACTATTCAAATAGTTTAAATAAAAGGAAATATACCAACAGTTTTAAATCTTTGTTCAACGGTTACTTTTTTATTTGTTTAAATAAAAAATGTTATTATGCAAAGGTTCGAAACTGTTTGAAGTTTAAACAGGTTGCACCTGTTCGGACTAAGTTTGGTTGCCTATATATACAACCATTAATCCAGCATTCTAGACTCCTGGGAAATTAAGTCTTTGTAATCCAATTTCGTATCCGAAAATATGAGTCTGCAAAATACCTTGTTGCTGTCCAATTCTTTTATTTAGTGCATTTTCCTACATTCTAGTTTTAGGAAAATAATAAAGAGAGTATTAGAACACAGGTTTGGTTCGCCGTACAAATTTGTTTGGTGTGCTACAACAATTTTGTGAAGATCATTGTATCCTGGGAGATAGACGTCACTCAACCGTAAGTACCGTAGCGGGGCGAATGTGTCTTAAGGACAGAGTGTCACACACTCGACTTGGTCTTTTAATTTTAATTCGGTTCGATAAATAAATTCGGTATGTTATTTATTTATTTTGTTTGAATTTATTTCAAATTATTTTATTTACACAGAAGATTGTTCCAACAGCAACTTCAACAAAGATATTGACATCGATTGGGGTGGCAACGAACATGTTAAGATTTTCAATGGCGGCAAACTTCTGACTCTCTCTCTTGACAACTCCTCTGGTGCTGCTTTCCAAACCAAGAACGACTACTTATTTGCAAGGGTTGACATGCAACTCAAGATTGTCCCTGGCAACTCCGCTGGCACTGTGGCCACTTACTATGTATGTCGTTTCATCGATTCATTGATTTCCATCTCCTTCAAATTTCAAATTTTGCAATAATCCAATAATTTCCTTCTTTTTTCTTCACCATCATCATTAATTTTTCTAATTTGAATTGCAGTTATCTTCTCTAGGGGCAGCACACGATGAGATTGACTTCGAGTTCTTAGGCAATTTATCTGGACAGCCATACACTGTCCACACTAATTTCTATTCCCAAGGGAAAGGGAACCGCGAACAACAGTTCCGTATTTCGTTTGATCCCACGTTAGCCTTCCACACCTACTCGGTCATTTGGAACTCTCAACGCATCATGTAAGTATAACAAAAGAAAAAAAGAAAAAAAAACACATTTTTTTTTCTTCTCAATACTTAGCATTGGTTAATTTTCAACCACTTACAAGGATTCCTCTTGCATATTATGTTGTTCAGTTTCATGGTGGACAATATTCCAATAAGGGTATTCGAAAACAATGAAGCGATTGGAGTTCCATTTCCCAATAGCCAACGAATGAAGGTGTATGCCAGCCTATGGGATGCCGATAACTGGGCAACAGAAGGTGGGAGAATAAAGACCGACTGGACTCAAGCTCCTTTCATTGCCTCGTACAAAAATCTCAAAATCAATGCTTCTTCTTCTGCTAACTCCACTAACAATACAATATCAAATCAGGCATGGCAAACTCAACAACTTGACTCCATGGGTCGAAAAAAACTCCGATGGGTGCAGAGCAAGTGCATGACTTACAACTATTGCACCGACTTCCAGAGGTTTCCCCAAGGCCTTCCCCCAGAATGCGTAGCTTCTTCATAATCATTAAATTATTTCTCTCTTTTTTCTTTCAAATTCTTTTCCTCTTTTTTCTTCTTGATTTGTAAATTTATTAGTTCGTGAATATTCTTTGTTTGTTTGATTTAAAAGCATTTGCAACAATTCAATCACAATAAATAAAATTTTTTTTACAACAATGATTCATCCTCCCTTTTCCTCCACCCCCTTTGACCCCTTCTCTTTCTCATTGGTTACATTTTCTTTTTTTTTTTCTTTTTTTTCCTGCTTCTCCAATCACCACCCGCCACGTGGCAAAGGGGTGAGAGGTGACCCCAAAAGGGGGTCCCAAGCATTATTCTTTTTTTATTTTGAAGTAATTTATTTGGCTTCGGATCCCCCGTTTGCCTGTCCTAATAATTTATTCCATGTGTACATCTCTCTCTATAAACTTCACAAATTATCTCTGTCACAAATCCTCATGACTCATGAACTCATCCACATAGATTTCTAAAGTCAACTCGTTATCATCATTGGGTTTTGTAGAACGGTGCTACGGCTTTAGTTATCACATTTTCTAATCGCCTAACTTGGTTTGACAAGGTGGCATTCATTTGTGGTGGGATGATTCCACTTATATTAAAAACAGCAATGTTAGATATCATAAAAAAAATTTTATAAAAATAATAATGAAAGTTTTGTGACTTCTTTATTACACTTAGAATAAAACACCACACACTAATCAAGGTAATCCAAAGATCATAAACCTTTCATGATCATTTTCATGAAAAAAATTTCATGATCCCTAACTTTTTTCTATTAAAAGTCCCAATAAAAGTACAAGACTTCAAATATGGTTGATTATCAAAAAAATAATAATATTTAAACACTTCATGATTTTTAAATACATATTTTTTTAATAAAATTTTACATAGATGTAGTATTGACAATTATCTATGTTGACAAGGCAATGCTTTAGCAAACTTCAGAGTAAACGCTGGGTGGGGGTCGTCCGGAGCCAAAGGTCAATTTGATACAAACGTCTGTGGAAGATGCCTATAATATATATTTCTGTAAGTTCTTATAAACATATATAAATTATCTCTTAAAATCACGTAAGTTTTCACAAATATACGTAGGTTGTAAATTCTTAACTTCTTATGGATTAATTTATATATGTATTAGCTTTTTGGCTTTCGAAGGTTATTTTTGTAATTATGAGCGTGCCAGCAAGGATCAATCAGTCTTTACAGAATTGTAATTGCCAAACAATTATTCAAACGATTGTATTATGGTTCTTTTAGCCTCAATAAAGAGAACTTTTACTGGTGGCTTACTGGTAGCTTGACTTCAGAGAACTTGAGCATAAGAACAGTTAAATAAGCTGAAGCATTTCATTACACTACAGGAAAATTGAGATTTACTGGCATTTGTAAAACGCCGCAATAGGCTCAAAAAACGCCGCAAAAATATAAAGTGACGTGTACAAAATTCGTTGCAGATGTGGCCGCCGTCATATCTTTGTGGCATTTTAAAAACGCCACTAAATATTTTGACGATGTTTCTTTAAAGCGCCACTGATTCTTAACCTCTGTTAACAGTGTCCGTTAGAAGGGTTAACTATGACGTAATCATGACGATATTTTGCGACGTTTTTACGAAAACGCCACCTTTTCTCTTTTTTTTTTAAAAAAAAAAATTCATAATTAATTATGCTTTTACTTTTGTTCAAAGCAAACCTATTATCCATCACCATTTTCAAAATATATACGATAATGTGAGTCAATATATATTTTTCAATTTTCCACAACTTATAAATAAATAAAAAAAACCCTTAAAACACAGTATGTTAAATCAATACAAAAAAATAAAAATAAAAATAAAAATAAAAATTACTAATACTTTTACATTTTAATAATAATAAAAAAATATGGAGTGTGCCCTCCAAACTTTGAAAATAACTTCATCTTCTAGTCATCCAATCCTCTTCAGCAAAATGATGATATATACCTGAATCATCCTTCCATTCTTTGTCATTCTCAAGATCATAAAAGCTTTTTTACTGTAATCAAAAGGAAAAAAAGACAAACTCAATCTGATTAGAAAGAAGTTAGAGGCAGATAAAAAATAGACTTGATAGTTGGATTCTTACAGCAACCATTGACTATCAACCCAAAAATATCAGCCATTGAGCATGCCATTATCAATTAAAGACTAAAAAATGATGATCTTAAAAGTGCTATTGCACAAAAATGATTCGTCATGCAACCCAGTAAGTAAATTTGCAAAATCTATCACTAACCCATTTGCAACCTAGCAATTAATATATATATTTATATATATATACGCATTATCCATCATTAACCCATTTCCCTCAACGTCAAGCACAACAAAGCATCACTAAACATCTAACATAAATAAATTTATAACTGCAAAAATACACAATCTCATTGTATGCATAAGTAATCAGACAATATAGTTCTAAAATAAGGGCTCAATGCGTGATAACCTAAGAGAAAGAATTCAATAATAGTTTAAAACTGGCAAATGTACACTATTCTACCACAATGCAGCAAAGGATCTCATTGATTGATTGTAGATAATATTTGGTGAACAAAAATGTAACATGGAGAACTAAGTGATGAGCATAGTAGAGAACTCACTGCAAGCACTCTGCTGCATCATATATGTCCATGGTTTCTGTACTTGTGTCATCAATTTTCAGATAACATCTCCAGACAAAATGCCAGCCTTGTGTGAACATTGAGTCCTATGGCCACGACACTGCCATATCTGAAAATGGTAATGTGATATTCTGACTAGGGGCCATGTCCTTAATCCCCTTGCTCAGGCAGAACTTCATATGTTTCTGGACCAACTTCCATTGCTCCTTAACTGGCATCGAAATTCTGTGGCTACTACACAATCTTTAGACCAACTTTCGTCTCTTCGAATTCATGCTCAGTACGAAGCAGAGAACTTCATTGAAGAATTCGGTGATTTCAAGAATAAAGATTCTGTGTATTGGCATGACTTAGACATTGACGAATTGGAACAAGGATTAAGAGAGGTGGCTTTCGAAATAAAGGCTGAAGAGCTCTACTATGAAGTGAGAGCACATCAACTTATGCAGCCAATGCTAGAAAATTTGGGAGATAGAATAAGGAAAGAACAAAAGTTTATTGATCATTGTTGGACTAAATTTCATGATCTTGTTATTTATTCCATTCCTTATTTTTATGAGCTCGAGTTCATACCGAGATAGGGTCATCTGATGTAATCGCTTTGGTTTTAATATAAACAAAATTCTTCTTCATTTGTCTTTGTTTGACCCTGTCTTCACTTGTGTTTTCACTTGTGTTTTAAAAGTCAACTCCGAGCTTCGAACAATTTCATCCTTTGAATCTGGACTTAATTGTTTTAAATGAAACACTAAATGAGCCAATTGTAAACCTTTCCAATTTGTGGAATAAAGTTGACAGTTTTGGCTGATTTTCAATTAGAAACAGTGTTTCGAATCTAGCAATCTTATACTTAAAGTCTGTTTTGACCATAGTCAACATCTAGTCATTGTCATTATTGCTTTTGATGTCTCAAACACCAAATCCCATCCTTAAAGAATCTCAAGTTTTGCCTCGAAGGACATTACCTTTGTTAAAAACCTAAAAACAGGTCTTTAAACTCTTTTAAGTGAAATAAACACTCGGGTATTTTTATATTTTGGGTATGGCAACTTGCTTCAAAGCCGGCTTCTCTATTTCGAAGTCGTTTGACTTGGCTTCGAAGCAAAATATCTTACTTCGAAGCTAGCCTCAACAACTAGGCTTTGTTTTTCCCTCCAAAAGCATCAATATTGAAAGAAGCTTTTGTATTCGCACTTCTAATACTTAACAGCTCATGTAATATATTTTCAAATACGAGGGCTTTAAAAACCCTTTTGTTTCGTGCTCTGAAATCACTTGCTCTTCTAATCGCACAAACCCCTCTTACTACCGATCTTCGGTTTCTCTCTACTTCCTTTCCCGGTTTCACTTTCAAGAAAAGCATACTGTCAATGGCTTCTCCTTTACTATCAGTCGTAGAGCGTACGAGCCCATCTGTGGCCCTGAAGAGGATTATTGATGCAGAATGTGAAAAGTACAAAGCTGGGGAGAAAAGCGCTATTGATGGACGCATCTTTGTCCCTCGTCGCCATGTGCAGCTAGACTACGTGCTCGGGCCCATATTCAAAGAGATCCTTACTGAGCTCCCAGCCCTGTATCCCCGACTGGAAAACCAATGTCTTCTCTATGAAGGTGGTCTTGACTGGAGGAACTGGAGGGTAAATCGCCCCCACCGATGCTGGCCCATGGTGAGACTAGAGTGGCAGGAATGGTATGATCGGGGTATTCCTGCTAGGACCCTGGACCTTCAAGAACTCTGCCTTCTCGATGCTCTCAGACTATCTAGGGTAACTATTTCAGAGGACCCTTTTCTTGTTCCTGCTGCCCTATGTTTTTGGAATCCTGTCTTTAACTTTTTCCAATTTAGATGTGGGATGATGGCCCCTACTGTTCTTGATATTTGCCATTTACTGGGACTATCTCCCATTGGCACCCGTTTTGGACCGGATTATCCTGATTTAGCAGTCCCTTTCTCTCACCCCTCCCTTAACTCATCTTATAGTGATTTCGCTAGGGCTGAGAATAAAAGAGAGGGCCCTGTGACTGATAGGGAATTCTTTTCTTTCTTATTATATTGGCTTTGCAAATTCCTTTTTTGCACCTCCTCTCAGAGAATCATGCCTGAATTTGCCCCTCTTGCCAAAGCCTTTGTTTTACAGAAAAAGGTGGCCTTAGCCCCACATGTTCTAGGGCACGTATATAGAGTCTGCTCCCTTTTCTGTGAGAAACCCTTAGATGCTAATCAAGGGGGGCCATTCTGGATCCTTCAGTTTTGGCTTTTCGCCTATTTTACTGAATTACAATCCAAATGCCTTAAATTTTCCGAGCCAAACCCTCTTACTCATGGCATAAGGATAGCCAATGCTTCACTTTACCCTTCTACCTTTGCTTTTTACTTCTCTTTCTTTCATTTTTTCTTCTTGATTTGTAAATTTATTAGTTCGTGAATATTCTTTGTTTGTTTGATTTAAAAGCATTTGCAACAATTCAATCACAATAAATAAATTTTT